GAGATCTCGTTACCAATTGTAGACTGGGTCTTAGGATGGCGTGGCTAACTCTTTGACTTAGGATGACATGATTCCCTTCTTGACTCTAGGATGACATGGTTCTAGGATGGCGTGACAAACTCCTTGACAACTCTAGTATGGCGTGACTCCCTCCTTGACTCTATGATGGCATCACTCCTTCCTTGACTGTAGGATGGCATGGTTGCAGGATGGTGTGGTCCTTGACTATAGGATGACATAGCTCCAAGATAGCATGGTTGACTCCTTGGATTTAGGATGACATGGCTGACTGTGCTCTCTTGACTCCATGGTGAGCCGAGCTAGGTCTCATCTGGGTTGGGCCCATTGGGTTTTGTCTGGACCGGTCTCATTACTTAAGTTGGGTCTTGTTCAGGCCAACCTCCACTATCCGAGTTGGGCCTTGTCTAGGCTAGGCCCATCAAATTCCAAATTGAGGCTTGTGGAGTATTCAAAGCATAAATAAAGAAGGCATCTTAAACACAAGACATGCAATCCCATATCGGAAACCCAACAAAAGTGAAGAAGACTACATGTGTTATAAGACGATAGCTCATTTTCCTATTTGAGTAGTGGCCTTGTTTGGCAGTCTCGTACCGATTTCTAGATGGGACAAGCTAAACGGAAGGTGGCTGGCTGAGTTTAAAATATTTAATAATAAATAAGATTAAAATAGTATATTGGTTTGGATGGGGGAAAAATCATTCGGTTTGTAACGGCTTTTTAAAAATTGTTCGGATTGAGCCGAGTTTGGACGGTTTTCTAGCTAGTCATTTGTATGAACAATTCAATTTAAAAATTGGCTTGGCTTAGGTTCCTGTTCAACGAGTTAACCAATCAGCCGGGTTGGGTTTTAAAACAATATATGCAACGCATGTATGATATTTGTTATGATAATTGGGTCTCAAATGTATAAACCTTTTATTTATAACTTGTACATTTCAAATGATGATGTGTTGGAAGATTTTCATAAATGCTCTAATTATTACCTTTTACTTATACTTAATCATAGAAAGCTTTTGTTATTTATTTGTATGATTTGTGAAATATTAATATTTAAAACTTGTACATGCCTGAGAAAATGATTATCTTTCTGGGGTGTGATTGCTCATCTTTTACTAATATTTTCAGAGACTAGCATGAATCCTAGAGCATAGGTGATGAAATGTTTGTGGGAGTTTGGACTAGGAAGAATGTCTTTTGAAAATCCTTTTTTATTTATATGTAGAAATGTTAGTACATAAACATTGTGTTTGAAATTTGGTAAAAAAAAAAAAGCAAAACAAAACATTGTGTTTGAAATGGGTCATTTTGAGACACTTGTGGTGTATACTTAATCATCTCATAGACGAATTTTTTTTTGGTATTGTAATATAAAATTATGACTTTTGGTATTAAACTTTGGTATATAAATGTATTGGATGAATCTAGGTTTTATGAGGACTTCGTGGACCTGCAATTACCACCCCAATAAGAGAGCCTCGGAGTTGGTGATGAAACTGGGGGCTTCTTGGTTCATGGGTTTATGCCTTGATGGAGGATGAATGCGATGCAATGGAGGACGTGATCTCATTTCAAGGGTACATTTTTCATTAAAATAATTTTTGTGAAATCCGTAATTTTAAAATCTGACCTGGATATCAACATAAGAAAGTGATCGAGGTCAATGGGTTACTGGTTCAACCATTATATCACTAGTTGAGCTAGTCAAATAATAATAAAAATATAAAATAATTATAAATAGTCTAAGAAATCACAATAATTAACATGATTAATAAATATTAGATCAAACAAAACCCCCATAATCATCAAACATATGTCCAATGCATATGTATCCAAAGCGGGGCACATGTAAATTATAATCCACTTGAAAGTACAGATACTGCCCTATAACGGTACAACTCAATTATATATAATGAACAACAAGAATCATCAATATTTAAAATCTGGCATCAAGAATTGCATAATTATTGAAATGGGTAATCTGATTATCAATGTATATGAAATATGATAATTGTTGAACATTAAAATAGGCCAAAATTTATGCAAATACAAATAAACTAAATCTGAAATAGACCAAAAAAACTATATATATTCATATAACATACTATAATAGCAAGGAGATAAAGAGAGAGAGAGAGTGTGTGTGTGTGTGTGTTATAATACCAGATGATGTGCCTCAGATTGTTGACTGAAGGATGAAGAAGATGAAGATCACACAAGGTCGAAGAGTTGAGAATTTGAGTAGTTTGAATCTTTGAGTCTTTGATTGAGTGATGTGTTATTGTGTTGAGCTGCTAAGTGAACGACCAGAGAGAGAGAGAGAGAGAGATGACTAACATGTGAGAACCAATCAGAGTCGAGTAGAGGCAGAGGCAAAGCCAAACAAATCAATGTTGAAATGAAATTTGTGCAAAAATGCCTTAGAACCCGTCTTTATAGCATTTGAATTAAACCGTCTGGTTCAACAAGTTTGTTACAAAATCGGGGCAGGTCACCAGGCTTGTCCGATTCATTTGCTCGAATGATCTAATAACTAAATCGACCTGATTCAGCCTTCGATCCATCAGGTCAACCCACCAGACCGATTTTATAAAATAATGGTGACATTAGATATGTTCCAAGCACATGGACCTCATGCCTTAAAAAGTCCATGTCTGGATTTATTGACAAAGCAGGTAAAAAATTATAGTTTTCAACAATTTTCACTAAGAATATACCTAATTTAATTTAGTAGTTTGACAATATACAAATAAGACTTGGATAGTAGTTATTTAGTTCAATCTGTTATTTGTTTATTTAGGCGCGAAAAATCTCTTTATGGATATTTTGGTAATGAAATATAGTAGTTGTTGACTTTTTGGACTTGATAACCAATATTTAACTCTAACGCGTCCTTTAGACCTTAAATCAAATGTGCTTCTATCTATTGACTTAAAATAATTGAAATACACTAACTTATTTATCTAATATTATGGTTAAAAAGTTAAATTCTTACCTTATAAAAAACATTATAGTCAAGGTTGATTAAATTTTTATCTACTTTGATCAAATTGTACAAAATTCATTTAAAATTTTATTTTTTGGCTCAAAAATATCAATTCAACTAATATCCTCCCTATTATCAAATAACTCAATTAATCCATACATACCTCTCTTTCTCTCTCATATACCTCTTTCTTTTTTTATTTTTGTTCACGTTAATTTTAAATTATATAATTAAAAAAATAAACTATTATTTAAAATATTAATATTAAATGATGATAATAAATAGTGTCTTCAAACATGTGCTATATCTAGTAACTTTCTACAAAAAATAAGAGAAGATAAAGTTGTATCAAGTGTTGATAAAAGGAATGAATTATAATTTGAGATATCTTGAGTTCGAATATTGACAATCTCTTAGAGTTATATCATATTCTAATTTCAACGTGAATGACTTACTTTTAATCGAAAAATAATAAGGTTAAATGCAAAAAAAAAAAAAAATCTCTTGTATTTAGGGTCATTTGTACGTGACCCCCCTCGTAGGAAGTTGCTAATTTAACGAAAGATGGTAGACGCGCTCAAATTTGCATGTGTCTCTCCAAACCTTAAAATACTTCTTAAAATACCCTCCCCAACCTTGCCAACTCTGTCCTCCAAACCTTCTCCTTCACCGAAACCCACCACCTGCAACACCAACATTGCAGTCCACTCCTGTAGCAAAACGCACCCCCACAACACCTGCCCCATGCTAGCCCACCCCTACTTAGCCATCTCTCTCTCTTAGACACACACACACACACACAGCCTATTTAAAATCCTCTCCATTCCTCACCAAAACCAACCTCTGCAACACGCCCACCCTCGCCGGAACTCCCCCAACCGAGGCCACCCCCGCAACATCTCTCCCACGCTAGCCCCCCCTGTAACTCTCCATTCCTCAACGAAAACCCACCTCTGCAACACTCCCTTCCTCACTGAAACCAATTCAGACAAAGAAATCTAAACCCCTAAAAAAATATGTACAAAATTTGATCTTCAAGACCCTCTTTCTTCCTTCCCTCCAACCTAGATTAAATTCACTTCCTCTAACCAAACCCATTTGAAAGGTAATTCTTTTCATGTCTTCAAACAACCCCCAACCTTTCAGATGCATACACTATAGGCCTGAACTCAAACGTAGATGGTTTACCCTCTAACCCTCTCATCTCTTCCATCAAATTCTAAAATTCACTAGGCAACCCAATTATGCACAAACCATTAACCTTTAGCTTATAGTAGAATGTACATAATTCACACTCTCTAGAACTTATTTTGGAGACGGCTTTTGAAATTAGGGCTTCTACTTCGTCCCACTTTTTCTTTTTTATTTTCTATACTTTTCAAAAAGAAAATGCAATTAGTTTGGTGAGGTATATGAAGGTGTGTGGGAATATTAACGGTGGAATTGTTGGGTTTGGGAAGATTGAGGTAGAAAAGTATAGAGAAAAAATTAAAATGTAGAAATAAGTGTTTGAGGTAGAAGAAGAAGATTGAAATGAAAATTAAATGGATAAATGAGAGTATTTTGATATTTTTATAAATTCTGTAATGTCCATCCAATGTTGCACTTTATTTGTAAGTTGAGGGAGTTTAATACAATACTTAAAATTACAAGAAAATCAAGTGCAAATGATTATAAAGACATTTTTTTTTTCCTCGCATTTAACATAAAATAAAATAAAATGTTGTAAGAATTATTACCCAAAGCCCAAATTTTTTTTTTTTCAGTCAGAACCCAAAGCCCAAATTGACTTGGGGCTTTGGCCGAGTTGGGCAAGACTTCACTAACCCAGTTCACTGATAAGCGGAGACCCTAGTCTACTCCATCGTCTACCTCAGTCCGGTGTTGCGCGGTGGAGCGGAACCAGTATTCGGTAGAAGCAACGGCGAACTTGGAGATGTTGTCCGGTTAGAAAGCCGGTAGCAGGTGACACGACGACGGACTTGGCGCGAACATGAAGGTGGTTGCGTTAGTCAGTGGCGGCAAGGATAGCTGCTATGCTATGATGAAATGTGTCCAATACGGTCACGAGGTCCTCCTCCTGCTCCTCTCTCTCTCTCTCTCTCTCTCTCTCTCCTGATGTGTATGTGTGTGTGTGTACGCTGCTATGGTTTTTAATACTCTATGGTTTTGGGGGTTTAGATTGTTGCGTTGGCGAATTTGTTGCCGGCTGATGATTCAATCGACGAACTCGATAGCTACATGTATCAAACTGTATGCTCTTCTCTCTCTCTTTCTATCTCTCTCTCTCTCTATATATATTTTATGTATATATTTGTATACCCACGTCACGTATACATATCATTTATATACACATGCAAAAAAACGCAGAGGCCATTGCTTATGAAATGATGAGGTGTTGGACTAAAAACCGTGAAGCTGAGAGATCAAATTTGAGGGCAGTCACTTTTGTGAAAATATTGTGATAGCTTAGGTTTGTACGCAGTTCATCCTTCCCAGTATCATCGAATGATGGCAAATTGGTTGATAAATGCAACTCTAAGTTAATTGATTTTGGGCATGGTTAATAAATATGTCAACATGTAATGATATGATAACACCACAGGTCGGTACTTCCATCTAGTAAGTTATATATAGATGTGAGTGCTTTCGTCAAGTTGATGATGTGCGGTGGTTCCTATTGATTTTGAGAACATGAACATTCATCCATGTTAAAGTGCACATTTTAAAAAAATTAATAATTTATGGCAGAAAAAAATATATGCATGCCATTGCCAGGAAATATGTGGGCGTTATCAACTTTTTGAGTTACAAAAACAATCTCTTCGCGTGCGGTGGTTAAGGCTAAGACCATCAGATCCCGCAATGGCCGAGCCTTATACACTGGACCTCCTTTTCTGTTCTGAAATATTTAGAGTTTTATATACTTGGTAAACGGATACCATGGTCTATGTAGGTAACATCTATTACAATTGAACTTGTATTTCCGAGAATTCTATTTCAGGATGGCTTAAGCTTGTTCGGATTTAAAGATGGGATTTTGAAATATTTATTAGTGGAAGACTCTCTCATAGGAAGTTTGCCGACATTCCATCCAGTAAACTGTGATAGTTGTCTAGAAAAAAGTGCTTTAGACATCTGAACTTTTTGATGCTGGTTTTCCAAGAATCTCAATGGAAACAATGAAAAATGTTGCCTTTTTTTTTTTAAAATAGGTTTGGTTTTATTATGTTTCTTTCTTCCTTTTTTCGGTGAGTCAAGGAAATGTACATTTGCATAATCAATGAATGTACGGTCTCACTAAAATTTTACTTGTACACTCTATTGCTATGTGTTGGACTGAGAATGAAATAGGTTTGAGTAATTTCTCTCAAACAGGATTAGTATGTTTTAATTTTTTGTTTAGCAATGCTGCATGAGGCATAACCTTTATGCTGAATTTGTGTGCTTGTGCTCAAATAAGTGTTTAGTATAGTTACATATATAGTTGACAATCGGGATGCTTTAATGTGGATAAACAAGGACTTGTAATATGTTTTTTTATTCTCTTTGTTCACTCGCTAGTTGGAAATTTAGATTTTGAGCATTTTCATAGTTTGGGCACCAGATGGTTGTTAGCTATGCAAAATGCATGGGAGTGCCGTTATTCCGAAGGCGAATCCAAGGATCCACAAGGCAAGCCAATTGTAAATGCCCACTGTTCTCTAATTATGCTATGCTAGTCATCTTGACTATTTTTACCATTCCATTAATAGGTTTGTATCGTGGCTGTGTAATTTACGAAGGGAAGAACAGTTGTTTTTTGGAATAAGAAACAAATGGAATTTGGTTGTTACACTGTTACTCTTACAACCTATTTATTTCTGTTGAGGTTTACATGGCATGTGTGGTGAAAGTTGTGAACTTGTTACAGTATATAATCAAATATACTATGGTGCAATAAATCGGGCTGTGAAAAAGGAGATGTTTTGTTTGGGTGGTTTCCGTTATAACTGTGAAGGCATGACATACAAGGTTTTCAAGTAGATGCTAAAGAAAGGACATTATGGTTGGATGAAATTTTCAGTTTATTTGAACCAATTTTTTGGAGCTGCATTTTTAATAGCTTTATGCAGATTCAGGTTGTAGATCCCAAAATATGAAAAGAATTTGAGTTTGTGGAAAATTTGTATCTAACCGCTTCCGATTTTTGAAGTCCAAGTTTTTCGCACAAAAAAGGGCGACTCAGTGCACGAGGCTCCCGACACTACTAGGTCTAGGGAGGGTCATACCTGAGCTTCCACAAATTAATATTAAGAGGAAGTCGGTCATTTACATCATTGCAGATATACATTTAAGTATGTTTTCTCTTAATTTAGTGTTATAATTGATTGTATTCGACTATTTATAGCATGTTTTTTCCTTTCTAATGGTTATGTTGGACTGCGTAGGCATCATAGCCTTAGCTACAGTGTGACTCCTGGTGATGAAGTAGAAGATATGTTCATTTTGTTAAATGAAGTAAAAAGACAGATACCCTCTATCACAGCTGTATCTTCTGGTGCAATTGCATCTGACTACCAACGGCTGCGGGTGAAAGTGTGTGTTCGAGGTTAGGACTTGTTTCTTTGGCGTATTTATGGAAGCAAGATCAGTCATTGCTCCTACAAGAAATGGTAAATTCTGTTTTACTGTTATGGAGAATGACAAACCATTAAACAATCATGTAGCCTATGCTAAATGACTTTTCCCTTCACTGTTGTGACCAGATAAGAAGTGGATTGTCGCCATCACAGTAAAGGTATTAAGATATACTTCAATCTATTGTTATGTTGTCTCTGTCTCTCTCTCACTCACTTCTACACATGCACTTCTTTTATATTCGTGTTTCCTGGTTGTGTATACGGAGGTTGGATTTGAGTTCTCTTGTTTCGCTGATAGCATTTTGGTTGATATTCAATGACTTCTGTGGCCTGATTATTTACATTATGGAAATGCATTATCTTTTTCTCCTCTTCTATATAATTCCATTGAGTGGTTAGTTGCTGCATTTCTTTGCATGTCTCATCTTTCTTTCAGAGTTCTATGCTTGAGATATCTATTTGATGTGCATCCGTCGTTATTTCATCTCACCTATGTACTTTTTGAGGAAAAAACTTGAGAATCATATCCCATATGCTATACCATTATACATATTAGAGCGCTAAATAACCTTAATTAAACAAATCTATAATATATTTATGAAAATTTATAAATTTGGAACTATATACAAAATTGGATCCATTGATCCAATACGTAGCTTCATGGCTCCATTTTGTCAGTTCTATTTGGTTTTCTGACTTGTCCGTCTCTTCGAATTCAACTTGCAACTGGGTTGATAATGGGGGATAAGCTGGAAATTATAAGGGGATTAAATCTGCAACTTGACTAGAGTACAAATTATTGAATACCAAATACAAGAATGATGACATAAACGACAAATGTATCATCAATGATAAATCGTGTAACTTGTGATAATGTCATTCTCACTTTGAACTTCCCAGATTTGAATATGTCAGTTTGGACCTATATCGGATTTGAGTTCCCGACTTAGACCTATTGAGCATACTTATAGAAATTAAATTGGAATTTCAAAATGACAACAATTCCATTAATTGAAATAGGAATTGGGAATAATCAAGAAATTACTCTTTACAAAGAGATTTGGGAGCATATTGTGAATAACCCCACTTACCTAATCCAATATTGATACCGGTAGACATGCACTTAAAGACACCCCGAACAGAACACATGGATTTTCTCAATTATTTCCCCTTTCACCTTTTAATTTCTTCGTGAAATCTTTTCGTTTCCCTTTCTAGTTTTTTCTTAATTCTCTATTCTTTTTATTTTCCCTCTTATTCGTTTCTCTTGAAATATATGTCTCTAATCACATTTCTTATATCATTTTCTTCTAAACTCAACAACTTACCTTTAACACACCACCCACATATGACTCACATGCATCTTTGGTGGACAAGTCCACCATTTTAGATCACAAAAGGCCTACCATTAGCTCTTTTTTTGAGGAATCCTTGGGATTCCTCCTCTTTGCCTCTGTGATTGTTCTGAGTTTCTATTAGATCTCTTTATCTAATGTGTTATTGCAAAACAAAGAACACGATCAATCTAAGTAGTTGAATGATCTTTTGGATTTCGAGAGTCTAAGATTTTGTTTCTTGCCTCTCTAGATATTCTCTAAGGTATTATTAGGCTTTCCTTAGTGAGAAGGCTGCTATCACACACACACACACATATATGTATATATATTATGTCTCAAAAATGAAGTTTAATTGGAGTTTTAAGAAAACTCAAATTCGCGATCGACTAGGGATGGTAGTGGACCA